AATCTGTATATTCTATCACTAGGAGAGAATTCTCTCTAAGTCTCCCTGGTCCTCAATTTCCCCAGCACTCTAAGTCTAAAAACCTCTTTTGCAGAATACCACTTGTAGATTCTTGATTCCCAAGGACATCCTGATGGTACTTGTAAGTGCAGGCTGCTGTTCAGGGTTATTTTATCCCTTTTACAGCATCCACATTTGTCTCTAGTACATACCACAAATAAATGTACCCCTGGTGAGGCTGCACTTACACACTCTGTTCCTCATTCCTGTTATAGGAAGCTCTTTATGAACACATCTTTGAGGTTTTCTGCAGGTATGCTGGCACAGCAGGAGAGAAGCTTGGCTAAAAAAAACCCACAGATTTATATAAGAGAAAAATAGAAAGCCAAACTAAATAATATAGGGACCTTTATATAGGTTAAGGTGAGGGGAGACACATAGAGTTTGCTATACCTGGTCCAGATTTGATGTTTAAAAAAAAAAAAAAAAAAAACCTCAAGCATCAAGGGCATATTTTTCTGATTATAGAATGAACATATGTTCATAACAGGAAATATATTTCAGAATCAGAAAGGAGAAAAATGTTATAATCTCACATCAACCCGTTCTAAGGTGTGGTGCGTGTCTCTCCTAAGCCAAAGCTACTCTGACTTGGTTTTGGTTCTCCACTTTATGTTTCTGCAAAGACCCCCATGCTAACAAATGAAGGAAGAAAGATTTCTTCATGCTCCATTAGTAGTCACATTGCCTGAAGAAACTAGGAGGGACCACAGATCAAAGACGGCAAATGTAAAGATACAGCAAACAAAGTTGCCTGATATTTGCATACAGCTGATGGGAAGGGCCTTACTTCTTTCCTCCCTTACTAAACTTCATCTTCCTAAACAATCGAAAGTGACTGATGAGTAGATGGGGAAGATCTTGTAAGCCACAGGACATTTGTACCTGCCTGGTGGAAACACATCAGTAGGGACCAGGTCCATGAGAAGGAGCTCTTATAAAAATATGCCTGGAGAAAGGACTTCTTCAGCCTAATTTGTAGGGTGGGCTAGGGCCTTGTGCCGGTGTGTTGTGTGATACTATTCCTGGGGAGGTGTGGACAAATGTCTACTCACCCTAGATGGGGAACTAATGACAGACCAAAGTATGGATATCACCACAGTCCAGTTTGGTGAACAAGTGAGTTCTATTGGGTTTACTTTGAGGGATATGGGTGAGAGGTTACTTCCAGGAACAGAAATGACTCAAATACAGCTGCATCACCAAAAGCCCACCCACAGTGGGTGACAGCTCATGAATCCTGGAAATCTGGAGTGCATTCACAGCCTGCAGGCAACTTAACAGTTTAGAGTATCCTTTCTAGGTCTGAGCCTCTTTCAGGCAGCTCAGCTTGTCTAAGTGTGCCCCCCCCAGCAGTCTTTATTGTTTATATATGCCTGGGGAGGGAGGAGCCTAGTGAATCTGGTCAGTTTCAGGGACTTCCTAAAGTTTTTGAGTTGTTTGCTTCCTTAGCTTCCCTGCAAGATAGTGTGTGTCATCTCCATTTAGAACAGCCTATGTTTCATGTTTTGCCTCCTTGCTAACATCTTAATATTAATTCCCTCCAAGACGGAAGGTTTTAATCTCTAAGAAACTACTACATAACAATGTGGTTTATTCTGATAACTCATGAAGTTCACTCACATTGTTCTTGCATCTCCTCTTTGTCCAAACAACAAAAGCTTCATAGAACCATATTCCAAAGGATGCCATAATTGCCTTATTCTTTACCAGCCACATCTATCCAGGAGAAAGAGCTGGGACTGGGCTCCTGCCAGTAGCTCCCATATCTCCTTTTGTGGAACCAGAGGAAGGTTTAATTTTCTTAGGACACCTGCCATCCATCTCCTGGAAACTTACACAGCACTGATGTTCTTACTGTGCTGTCCTAAATAGTTTTGCAATTAAAATACATATAGATAGCATCCATAATTACAGCCCCAATGCTGCTCCTCATAACTTTTCCTACAGGACAGAGACGGGCGTGCAGTAACTCTGCCAAGGAGGTCCAGTGAGCGTCTTGCCCTGAGAAGTTTCCATTATTAACCTCTCCTGACTTCCCCCTGACAAAACACTGGAGCTACTGCCTTATATTTAATCAACAAAATATATTTTTATTAATTCTTTGAGCATTTGATATGCATTTTGACCCCGTTTACCCTCACCCTCCCATTCTGTGCCCCCGATATATTCCTCAGGTGTGGGACCATCCTGGTAGACCTACCAAAGGACATACCCTTAAAGAAAACTGACTTTCTCTCCCCTAGAAGCCATCCAATGCCAGTCGCTCACCAGAAAGGAGTGGGAGATCATGCAGCCCTCTCTTCTCCACATTGGTTATTGATTGGCTTGATCTTGTGACAGTTTCACTCCATACGCCATGGCTTACTCTCTGCAACTGCCACCAAATATGATAGTGGATGGTCACCCCTGAGACTGGTGAAATAGAAGACAACCATTCTTCTGTGCCTGAATTTCAGAACAGTATGCATGTACATGTGTGTACATGTTCAAGTGTGTGCAGGTGCTCTGCCACCTTCTCTTAAACATTATCCTCTTTGTTTTTGGAGGGCCTTTCGTTGGCTGGGAGCTCAACAAATAGTCTAGGCTGGCTGGGCATGGAACTCTAAAGCTCTTCCTGCCTCCATATCCCCAGCTGAGTTTACATGTGTGTTCCACCATGCCCAGCTTTGGTTTTGTTTTAGTTTTTAAATGTGTATTCTGAGGATCGAACTCAGGTCCTTATACTTGCGGAGCAAGCACTTTACCAACTCAGCTCTCGCTGTGGCCCTCTGAGTTTCAAAGCATTTTTATCAGGGCCAGGATGAGTGTGAGGTAGGTGAGGCAGAACAAAATAAAGCAGTATTCGGTGGATATTTTTTGATATTGATTTTGATTCTTTGGTTATGGTACAGAAATATTTGTCTCAATTACTGAATATGTTCTCTGTAAATTTTGCTCCCAAGGCAAAGACCTTACATGACTCCCCTTAGTTATGGCTCAGAAACCAAACTAAACTTTACTGTCTTGTTGGGGAAGGTGGATGGCTAGTTCTGATGGAGGAGGATGTCTGAGTGGTGTCCTGCTATTCCTTTGACTTTGATCAATAGGTACACTGGTTTTGCCCCCCAGCCCCCACTTGCTGTGTTATCCCAGGCAGAGATGGCTTTTTTTCATTCAATATCAATGTCCCATATATAAAATGCTAAGCCAGACTCATCTCTTTTTCAAAAATGAGAAGATGTCTTCTTTCAACTTCCAGAAGTATCTAGAGTGTGCAAGCACTGTGTAAGTGCTAACGCAAAGAAGACAATGGCCCTTCTGTCATTTTGGTTCGATTGAGAACAGATAATTTCAGTGCATGCTTTGTATGACATGAGTGTGTAAGAGATGGAATAGTAGGTGGTGGAGAGAGTTTAAGGGAAGTGTTATTTGAGCTGAAACATCAATGGCTAGTGGACATCATAGCTTATGCCTCTTAGAATGACATCCTTGTTTTTAATCCCTAATCTTCAAGGAGCCCTGAGTTTGTGCCTGTCACAACAACTCACATGTCCTGACTCATTCTTCATCCACACTATCAGATAAAGATTTCTGTTACATTTTTTAAAAAAAGTATTGACCCAGCACTCGGGAGGCAGAGCCAGGCGGATCTCTGTGAGTGCGAGGCCAGCCTGGTCTACAGAGTGAGATCCAGGAAAGGCGCAAAGCTACACAGAGAAACCCTGTTTCGAAAAACCAAAAAAAAAAAAAAAAAAAAAAAAAGTATTGATAGAAGGGCAGAGCATAGTGGTACACGATTTTAATCCCATCTCTTGTGTCTTAGTTAGGGTTTCTATTGCTGTGAAGAGACACCATGACCATGGCAACTCTTATAAAGGAAAACATTTAGTTGGGGTAGCTTACAGTTTCAGAGGTTTAGTCTGTTGTCACTACAGGACATGGCGGCACGCAGGCAGACGTGGTGTGGAGAAAGAGCTGAGAGTCCTACGTCTTGATCCGCTGGCAATAGGAAGAGAAGTGAGACACTTGGCATATCTCGAGCATAGGAGACCTCAAAGCCCACCCTCACAATGCGACACTTCCTCCAACAAGGCCACACCTACTCCAACAAAGCCACACCTCCTAGAATTGCCACTCCCAATGAGCTTATGGGGGCCAGTTACATTCAAACTACCACAACTCAGGAGGCAGAGGCAAGCCAACACTTGTGAGTTAAAGGCCAGTGTCTTCTACACAGGCCAGCCAGGACTACATGATACCTGTATACAGATATACATAGATACATTTTTATATATGCATTTATATTAGACACACATATATTGATGAGACATACAAGTCTAACAAATGTCACGAGATCACTAACACACAGTGGAAGAAGAGGTGGAATTAAGGTATGTGGTGTGACACTCTACATAATACAATTGACAAGCTTCCAATGAACACTTACTATGTTCCAGGCTCTGTACATTTGGAGGCACAACTCATCCTCTCTCCATCTCTTCTTTCTCTAAGCCATCTACCAACCTTAATGAATGCTAATTAGATTTCGAGGAAAGCTTTAAGAGGACATGAGACTATTCTGTGTCACGATTGTGGTGATGGTTGCCTGCGAGTATGAATTTGTCAAAAAGGCCAGAGCTATGCACTAAATAGGTTAACTTTTACTCCATGTCATTTAAATCTTAGCGCAAAAATCTCTCATCTTTGCATCTCCACCCGACATCTGTGAAGCGGCCCCTGCCCCCTAACTTCAGGGAACAGGGTGAGCGGAAGAGCTTTTAGGGGCTGGGCCAGTCAAAGAGTTCTCCCCAGAGGGCAAGGAAGCAGGAGAAAGGAGAAAGTGGCCTCAGCTGGTGCCAGAGAGGATGGGACTGGCTGGGGGAGGGCGGGGAACACGCGGAGAGGGGAGGGACCAGCAGGCGGGGAGCGAGCTGCAGAGGGAAGGGAGGAGGGGAGACGTGCTCTCCCGATCCAGCCGGGACAGCTAGGCGGAGACCGCCGGGCTGAAGACCGCGCCGGCCCAGGCCACCCGCCCTCCCGGCGGCTGCGGCGCGGACACATCCAACCGACAGCGCGGTGTGCGGGAAGCGCCCGGCCATGTTCAGCCGGAGCTCACGGAAAAGACTGTCCCGCCGCTCGGTGAGTGTCCTCCACCCGAGCGGGGCCGCCCTCCCGGTCCCCACCGCCGGCAGCCAGCGCCCGGGCCCAGCCCCTCTCCGCCCCGCGGCCGCGCACCTGTGGCCCCAGGTAAGCTGGCCCCGCGGGCGCGCGAGGGGCTGGGTCCTACTCCAGGCCAGGCGACAGTGCCACCAGGGACCTGGACCCTAAATGCCATAGTTCGGGGCGCCGGGGGTGAACCTTCTTCTTTGCCCCTTCCCTTAAGGAAAATGGGAACCCCAACGCCCAGACCGGACCTGGGGCTGCCTTTTGGAGCGTCCCCGCTACCGTTTTCCTAGGAGCCCCAGCTTAGTCCAGGGCAGCCACCAGGTGGTCCCCGCAACTCCAGGGAACCGAAAGGTCTTGCTTTTGTTTCTTAGAAACCGGTGACCAAGGTGTCTGGGGGAGACAAAGCTCCAGCCAAGCCATTTCTTGATTTGGTGCCCATGCTCTATAGGCAGCCCACCTGGAACCACACACCCTTCTCCAGGTGGGAAAATCTGGCCCCAAGTCCCCAACCTCAGAAAACAGTTGAGTCCAATCACTGAGGCTGGGTGGGAGGGGCAGGCCTCCCTGCCTAGGATACAAGTGGGGCTTTGAAGGAAGCCCCGCTGGTGGACACGCTTGTGTTGTCTTTTTGTTTTGAAGTTGACCGGACTGGGTCGGATTGAGAGAGGCCAGCCATGTAACGCCTGTGGTGACCAGTGCCCTGGGTTCGCCTTGCATAAATGGAGGTAGGATGGTCTTAAAGTGCACGACACTGCAGGGAGAGAAATAAATACACTTTCCCCTCCTTTTAAGTCTATCCTGCAAGTCACATGGAAAGAATGCAAACACTGTTCCTTTAAGAGCCCAGCTACATCTGCTACAAATATTGAAGGTGGAAGTGGTGGCCAGACACTGGAGGATGCAGGAGATGCATTTTCCTGATGCCAGAGCTTTAAGTGGGAAGTGTCTAGGTAACTCAGCCCCAAACAGTTCAAACCTGGAGCATGACGGTGTTGCCAGGCACCATGGTACAGCGCGGGTGGAGGATTGCCTAGGCTAACTGGTGTTTTCCAACTGTGCTTTCAGTTCAGCCCTCGTAACTGTGGGTCCCAACCACAAATCCACCACTGCCTGCCTGTGCTCTGTCAACCCTCTTCCCGTGGCCAGATGTTTCTTATTAATGTGCCTTGAATGTTGATTTTCAGGCAGCCTCAGCTGGCTTGCAGTGATTTTTGTTTGGGAGTGGAGGGATCTGGGTACCTTCCCACTGCGTCTGATGGGTAGGGTTGTGGTTGGGAAAAGTTGGGGTGTGGGTTTACAGACTCCACTTGGTGATAGCAAGGTGAGTCCTCTTCCCTGGCATCTTCATGAAAAGGAAAAAGTGGAGACAGTGCATGGTTAACTAGTGTCATTCTTGGGTTAAAGCGTCCTCCCACCACTCACAGGCTCCTGTGAAGAAGACTGTTTTGGATACAAAGGAGTAAAGTTATCTGTGACCCCTGCCACCTTTGCATATTTCTACTTTCCTTCAACTATGGCACATGCTGGGCACCCTGTGTTAAGGAAACTCCAAGCTGATTTCTCAGAGATGAAATGCTTTTGTTCCCACCTCAGATGAGTCTGGCAGGCTCTCTGCCTTTGTTTCAGGGCACTGAGCACAGACTTGGGGCTTTCAAGCATTTAATGAGGAGTGTGGCAGAGTCAGGCAGGCGATCTTATAAAAAGGTGATTGGAGACATAGGCATCTGTCAATACTGCCCTTGCTGTCCTCAGGTAGGTGTGGCACCTGTGGACTGGCCCTGTGGAGTCTCAGGTATGAAAGTGGCTTACACATGGGCATGGGTATTGAAACCTTATTTCGTAAAATTCGGTATGACAGAGACTAGCTCATGGCCTCTCCGGACCCACTGGTGATGTGATGGAAGTGATGAGCAGGGCAGGTGATTTGCAGCTTCTCTGTCTTCCTTTGCCTACGGGGCACTTTCTGACTGGAGACCAGTTGGTAAATGGTTCTAGGAGGGTGTATGGCTTGAACCTTGTTCTCCTCAGCCATGTGACCTCTCTACATCCAGTCCCTACAAGTCCATCGTTCCCCATCTCTCTACCTGTTAAGATGGAATGACAAGGATGCTATCCAGGGATTACGTGAGATGTTGAAGATACTGTTTGTTTATTCCCAGGCCCAGAGTAAATGTGCACTAATTTCATTGTTTCCAGCTTCCTGCCAAGGGCTGCTCAGGGGGAGATGTAACTCATTTCTTTGAGGATGTTGGATGACCGGGGTCACTTTGACCTTCATGATCACAGCTTCTTAGAACTTTACATCATTTTAACCCAGCTGATTTTTGTGATGGGAAAACAAGGGTTTTATTTTCAGCCCATGAAGGAAAAGAGACCTTTTCATCAAACTGAGGGATTTTCACATGGAAGCAATTTCCCCCTAGCACCAGTGAAAAGGCGTCCCTTTGTGCCATGAATAGGGTTTTTATGGTGTTTCCTCCTGTCCTGGACAGGAAGCCGCTTAGCTGACCTTCCGCCTGATCATTTTTGGGTTCTAGTAATCTTTGTAGTCTTCCCTTAAACTGTCTTGTTACCCTCTTTTACTGGGCAGCCCTAAGCCAATGGTGGACACTGAAGCCCATGTAGGAAGAAGGGCTGGAGTGTCATGCACCGGGAACTTGCTTTTGTTCTGACACAAGAGCACACATCCCCTTTCCCCAGATCCACATCTTATTGCTGTGAAAGACTGTACGACAACAGTGACTTAAGGAAGGAACGTGTTTTGGGTAGCTTAGCCTGATGGAAAGGACCTGAAGGCAGAAGCTTGAGTCAGCTAGTCACATTATAGCCATAATCAGGAAGCAGAGAAAGGTGGATGCTGGCACTTTGGCCCGTGGGACGGTGTCTTCCATAATTCAGCATGGATCCTTCCTCCTCAGTTATACTTCCCAGGGAACAGTCTTGTAGACATACTTAGAGATACATTGCCTAAGTGACTCTAAGTCCAGCCAATTTGACAATGAGGATTATTAACCATTACAACAACAAATCCTAAGACCTTCCCTTGTGACCTCAACCACTAAACTGGTCTGTGTGCATCCAGCTTGATCCTCCTCCATCCCATTGCCTACACAGGCATCTCTTCAGAATAAGATGAAGGTATTGCCTCCCAGCTCAAAGAGCCATGAGTTCTAGGAAGGAAGCACAGTGAAAAAAAGCTGCTTTCTTCTGGCACTGTGCTCAGACCTGGAGCTTTGTAGTACACCCAAAACTTAGCTGGCATTTATTTGTTCTGTGGTTAGCTCTGTGACCTTGGACAAAAGACTTGGACTCCCTTTCCTGTCACGCTGGAAGACTCTACAGAACAAATATTTGAATGGCTGTCCTATGCCAGGTGCTCTGGTGGTGGGGGCCACTCAGCAAGAGACAGACAATCAGGATTCCAGCCCCATTCCACAAAGAATTAAACCCTAGGTAGGGCAGCTCATGCAAAGATTCTTTGGAGATGACATTTGGGAGGAGACTCCTGGCTGATTGGAGCTTGTCAGGAAACCAACATTCCAGCTCCTAGAAGCTTGTTAGGAATGTACACTCTGAATCCCATCCCGGATCCCCTGAGTCTATCTTGAACGGGAGCAAGGTACCTGGTTGACTTGCATGTACGTTAACGTTAAGAGACACTGAGCTAATATGCCTCGCCCAGTGAATGGCAAAATTGTTCTTCTCACTGGGTTTGCCACGAAGGGGGAAAGATGTCTGTAAAAGACTATGGGTCTTGACAAAACTATTTTATTTTATTACAAGGACTTTGCTAAGCAATGGTACACTCCCATTTTTAGTGTTCCATTTTCCTTTAGGCAGCAAATGTGGCTTTTTAAAAAAAAATTTCTCATAAAAATAGGCTGTTATGTGGGTTCTTGGGAAACAGGACCCACAATTCTTGCACTTTGCATGGATCAACTGGAAGCATAGGTGGCCACTGCTCCCTACAGGTGACCTAGTGAGAAGAAAGCATTGTCTCACGGTAGCTTAGTGGAAACTCCCACAGCCTTCGGGCTGCAGAGAAGGGTGATCCTGAGGAGGAGGATGGAAGGCAGCTTCATGGACTATGGCTGGGGACTTAGTACTCTGCTCCAGGAGGGCTATTGGGAGCCAATTGTGTGTGTATATTTGCATCTAGTCTTGGGGTGGGGCATGGGGATTTGCACGTGAAAGTTTGATCTCCGCATGCCCAGATTCTAATGGATAACAGTCACAACAATGCCAGATCTCCATCGAGGAACACCTGCAATGACACGACAGGCTGATTGGAAGGTATCAGCTTCCTGCGTATAACACATCTTTTTATACAAGCTTACCAAAGCTTGTGAGGTAGATGGAATTATTTTATTGGTAAGGAAATCAAAGCTCCCAGCTGTTATCACTTAGCTATGGCCACCGGGCCACCGAGAATCATGCTCATCCCCTGTGACTCGCTTGCCTCTTGTGGTGTAGTCTAAAGCAGTGGTCACATCCCAAAGGCTCAACTTATCCAGCAGTTAGTGGGTTCTGTTTGCTGGGATTGGCATAGTCAACGAGTACCCCCCCCCCCCCCAATATTAAATTCAACTTTCTGGCTTTTCTAGAAAAGAAAAATCTAACTATTTGATACTGTCAGGCTAGCTTTCCTACTTGACACTAACTGGTGGCTCTTGAATAGTTTCCCTTTAGATGGGACTGGTGCTGATTTACCTTAGTCCCCAACGTTCTGGTTAGTTCTAGGGCCTCTTTGAAAATCCAGGTTACCTGTCTAGTACTGGAAATCCCAAGTGACTGCTCTTATCTTTGCAAATGAGGTTTGGAAAAAAGCAACCTTCTCGAAAACTAGCCACCCTGGGGAAAAAACGATAACACAACCAGACAAATGCTTTTCGTCTTCTCTCAGGCATGGTGAGTCTTGAGTGTGGGTGGGACTATTCACCTCTCTTAGTGGGAGGGAAACTGAGTCTCAGAGAAGTTTAGGAGATGATCTTCCAAATCTGACTATAAACATCTTTCTTCAGGAGCAAGGCATCCCAGATTTTATCTGCATATAAATTGCTTGGCGGTTTTGTTCAAGCTCAGGTTCTGTTCTCTTGGTTTAAGGGAGGACCCAATCGTCTGCCCTCCTGAGAAGTTCCAAAATGCTGCTTGTCTGCTCCAGGGTCCGCAAATATCTAGGCCATGGCCTGCAAACTCTGACCTCTTGGCCAAATCTAAGCCTTGGGTCTTTTGTATGGTCATGAATCGAAACTGGATTTTACAATTTTAAAGGGGGGTGAGGGTGGGGGAATTAAGAGAATAATAATCCACAATTTAGGGAAATAATCTGAAATTCCAATTTCTATGTTTATATATGAATTTACTGAACAAAACCTAGCTCATCTGTTGACATTTCATCTTTTTTTATTGTTTTGTGACAGCAGTGGGATTGAGTAGCTGAGGATGAGACCATACCCCACAGAGCCCAAACTATTTAGTATCTGACAATTTACGGAGAATGGGTGCTGGCCTTTAGTCTGGATTACTAGTTGGAGTGCATGCATGCTTTGTTTAGAAACAAGGCATCTGAGAATCTTTGGAGTCATGGCCGTAAAGAAACATTTCCCTCCAAGCTGGCTGAGAAGAGAGATGAAATAAAAGCAGCTAGAGAAGCAGGGCACAGACCACAGCTCCTTCTAAAGGGCTGTGGACAGGGTTCGCAAGGCCAAATCAATGACCCTCCAGG